ATCGAGGTGTTGCAGGACTGCCTTTCAACTACCCGCTAAAAACCTCACGATTCGTAAACCTGAACATCCAAGCAGAGTAGAATAAGAAAAAGTCTTAAAGACCAGATGGAGAAGGAGATAAAAGAAAAGAAACCTGGCGCGTAATGATGAAAGAGATTTACAGGCAAAAAATTCTGCACAGTAATGCGAATGTATATTCTAGGCAACACATTGAAATCAAAACGTATAAGAATAATTGCTTATGAAAAAGTAAACAGTTTTGAAAACATTTATCATCTTTTTATTAAAACTTCTAAGAGAAAAGGGAAATTCAAACGATCACGCATATTAATAACATATTCATTATATATTTTTCACAAGTGCTTTCGAATTTCTTTGACATTTGTCAGTAGTTATAATAAAATATTTACAAAAAGAATAAAATAAAATATATTTAACTGCATGCAAAACACAAATGATATTTCATTTGATTTGCAGTAAAACTTTCAGTGTAAGAGAGAAATAGTATCTATCCTAAACACACGCATACATACACAGAATATAAGATAATATAAGATATAATATAAGATTGATAATATATTTAGAATTATTATTGCTTCAGCAATTTTTAGCAACGCATTAATATACATCTATTATTGTTATATCGATTAGTTTAATTAATAAATATTGTTATAAATTTATCCCTTTTTGTTATTAGTATTGTTTTTACGATATTATCGTTAATATATCGATTTTCTTTTATTATATATATTTTTAATGGATTTAAATTTAGTAGATTTAAATTTATATTTTTCTTACCAATCAGAAATTATACAATTGAAAGATGTACAAAAATTAGTTGTAAATTTCTAAAAGGCATCTATTGACAATGGCCAAAGAGGTTTCTGTGCCAAAAAAGCATCGAATTTCGTAACGTACTTTTATGCAAATTTGATTCATTCCCTTTCGCTACTTCAGTGAAAACGTCGCGACATAAAGCACAAGATAATCTCAAAGCAGCATTAGCAAGCTCTTATGCATTCTCATTCTTTTCCAAGATGTATATTCGCACAACACGAAAAAGTACTTTGATACAAAAAAATCTACAAATACGTTTATATCTTTTGGAAATTCAAGAATAGATGCTTTTTTCTGTTTTATTATCGTCATGAGATATAATTGATAATGCGATTCAGACAGCCACGAAATAAAACTAAATGCATCCTCGAGGATCAAATCAGATCAAATCTTATTAAAACAAAGTTATCAATAAAAAAAGATATTGTTATCTTGTGTACGTAAATGAACGAAACTGATGTATACAAAGTTTCTTTTAAATTTAAATAACAGATACATAACAAATCTATAAAATTAAATCCTAGATATAATCGAATAGCTTCAAAAAGTTACAATTTCATAATTCCTATAATTCAACAAGAAAGAATAATAAGCTATAGTCTAACTCAATATTCTTCGACCATAGCGCGCGGTTTTCGACACCAAACAGCTGTCGCAATTTCAGTAATAGCCAATGAGCCGAAAATTAGAATAATTCACCTAGCATAGGAACGTGTGCGAATATTCACGTTGACAATCGACCTGGAATAATCCGCACCGATCAGAATTATTAGAGTACATTTGCGAATAACGTGAGTTGTGAATAACACCATGGGGATATATCATGAGCATTTAGATATATCGTGATAACGAATATGGAATATGTTCATGAAAAAATATTTATACGTATTTTCTACATATATACACATATATATATATATATATATATATATATATATATATACATTCGATATATATTTTATCTAATTTTTTTCATGCAAATTCACGGTTACGTTATTCTTGTAATAAGTATTTATTTATTCTCAAAAATGTAACGGAAAATATACACGCAAGCGTTTTAATAGTTTACACATTGGAAGTGATGTTTTTTAAAGTTCGTTTGTAATGAGTTTGCCAATTACAGTGAGTATAACGATAGATCAAGCGATCCATCAATTTGCAACTTTGTCGAGAATACTTTCTTCTTCGAGCACGAAGCTATAGTGACTCTATCTTTACTTTCGCAATTGATAAAATACTTGAAGCGCGAAATACTAAAGAGTGCATAAAACAAACTAAAAGAATTCACTTTACTCGATATCAGAAGCACTGTTATACAATATCATATTGATCGATACAGAGAGAGAGAGAGAGAGAGAGAGAGAGAGAGAGAGAGAGAATATATATAAC